TTGTTACAGTGGTGTGAATCCCAAATTATTTTATTAAAATCAGTTCCTATGGAGCAAATTTAAACTGACATGGATCCAATGGAAGGTAAAATCAGTCCTTTAGATGCTAATTTTTTTAACTATTAGAATGATTATTTACTCCTCTCATGTGTCTTGTGTGGTTTAAATCCAATATGGATGTCTTCTCCTTTAAGTTAATGATGGTATTTTACTATACTTCATGATGCTTGGGGTGTGACATAATCTTCTTATTCACAGCTTCCTTTGATGGGGAAAAGCATGCCATCAATCTTCCTTCTGTAAACAGTGCATCATTTGTCCTGCGCTTCTTGGAGAAGCTCTGCCACAGCCTGCAGTGCGATAATCTCTTCAGTAGCCAGCCTTTCAGCCCTTACATGGGATGTGCACATAGTCCTATGGAGTATGATAGGAACAAACCAGGTACTGTTAATCACTTGCTACTTTCAAAAGCTGGTATTTTTGAGAAATGTGGTGAATTTTATGAAATGCAAGTTTTTAGTCTGTCTTTCTATAATGTGAATGGCTTAAAATGAATATACTTCAGTTCTTAGTGGATTGGTTCCACTGTGGTAGTGCTTTGACAGTAAGGGATAGCTCAGACCACATGGGCATAAATAATTTTGTTCAGCAGACTCCTCCTTGTAGGCAAGGCAGAAAACATATGTACTTTACCACTGTGATACCACTAAAAAGATGAGCTCAAAACTTCACATTTTATTTGTTAAAAATTATGTTTGGATCATAAAATAAACTTACCGAACAATACTTGCTGCCTATGAGAAGGGACTTGCCCTGAAAGGCAATTCAGTCTAACCCTTCCAACAACAGCAAAAGGTCTTTATTCACCTTACTTAATGGTGACTCCAAAAAAATTTGCATTCTGCTATGAACAGTCCAGTCTTCTAGTAGAAAAGGTGGATTTTGCAGGTGGCTGCTTGTGAAATTTTGCATGAGTCCAATATCTTTGCTGCACCATGAACACAGAGTGAAGGGGAAAGGAAATGACTTGCCCAAGATCTCCCAACAGATTGTTTGCAGGACGTGGTTTTACAATTCCCAGGTCGTCACCAGGAATTGTAGCTGAGATAGCCCTGTTGTCAGGGCAATTTCAGGAGATTCATATGGTGAAGCTTCCTCTCAGCTGTCTGATAGTTGAGTCTGTTTTCTGGGTGCTGCTTTGGAAAATATGGATTTTTTTCATCTTTCCAAAGGATAAATTATGTTTATTATCCTGTCATGTGAAAGTCATTAGTTTTAACCCTTTTCAGGAAAGTAAGTAGACATGGTCAAGGTAATTCAAGTTGGAAAGCTTGTGTTGAAATGACTGAGGCTGTGTGACACAAATAACCTGTGTGACACAAGTAACCTGGTTAGTGGCTGATGTCTGTCGTTGCCTCTGTCCCTGGACTTTGCCCATGAGCAGCTTTATGCTGGAATAATACATGGCGACTTTCCTCCTCACAGCCAAAGAAGAAATACCTGAAAACAGGAGTGCTAAACGATACTCTCAGGACTCTCCACCATATACTGCTCCTCTTTCCCCTAAGCTTCCCAGAAACGATGCTCATCCATCTGAAGGTAATTACATTATGTCGGGATTATATATGAGGATTATTTATGGTTTCAGTATTTCCAGTCAAAAAGGACGGAGTACAACATATGTGTCTGGTTTGTCTCTAGCCTTTGACAGGTCAGGGTGAAAGTATGTTAATTATTGATCACTGGCACAGATTTTGCACTTAGGGAAGATCTACTGCAAGTCACAGCAGTGCTTCCCCTAAACCCGCAGCCTTTTCTGCGAAGGGGCTCAGACACATAGGTGACAGATGAAGCCTCCTGCTTCGTGTATGGCTGAAAACCAATTGCCTTGAAATGGGTTAGGAGATAGATTGGAAGCAACTCTTAACTCTAGGCAGGAGTCATTAAGTGAGTAAGGGTGCAGCTTGATTATACAATTTAGCAGAGTTTATGGCTACCTGCCTGTGAAAGTTGTGCTGCTCCTGCTTTCCTTGCCTCCTTGTACCTTCATTGAGTCCTAGCCCACTCCTATTCCCTCTCCCTGGCTAGTTAGTGAACTGAACCATTAAACAAAAGCACAGGAAACATTCTGGTTAAGAGTCTTGCAGTTTACTTCCCTGGAGTGACTCACTGTGGACTCAGGTGAGCACAGGGAAGGGTTGAATCCAAGGCAGCCATGCCTTGAATCGATACCCAGCCAGGGTAGTGGCGTAGTCTCCCTGTGGCAGCTGACTGTTAGGTTGATGTTGTTCACTAATAAATAGCACTTTTTTCCTGTGCTGCAGTTCAACTGCAGTAAATGAGCATATGTCTAGTTTTAGTCTGCCTCAGATGTGAAGTAAAGCTTCTAGGTTTAAACCTCAGGGAGAGAGACAGAGCAAAAGGTTTTTTTACTCTGTATTTACTACTTAACTCGTTAAGCCATGGTAAATTGATGATATTGACTCATCCCATCTGATACATACTTTTTCTTGCTACAAGATATTTGCACATCATTTCCAAAGGCTTTTTTTCAAATATGATGGGGATTAGTTACTTTTCTTCTTTTTTTTTTTCTTTTCCCCTTTTTTTGTGTGACCCTGAGGTGATTTTGTATCTATCAGCATGAGTGGGGACAGAATAATCTCTTTTGTACAGATTAAAAAGTCATAACACTACAGTTAAAGCAGAAAAGGATCTAAAATTAAAATGTTCCAAATGATAGCCTATTTAAAATTGTACGTCTTATTATTTTGTATATATGTAGCATATTCACATCTTTGTATTTCCTGCAGCTGTTATTATACACAGTTCTGCATTGATTATTGATTTCTGTGTCTTTCCAAAAGAAGCACTGACTTAATTCCAGAGATACATTGTACACCTAAGTCTGATATTTCTGGTAGGTAACATAATAAGTGTGGAGCACTTAATTATGCTCAAATGGAGTTGTTTCATTTGGAGCAAAACAAATGTTTTAAGTAGATCTACATTATCTTGCTACAAATCTTTCTCAAAGTAAACATGAGTGCACATTCTGCTTTTTAATCCTTGTTTGCTAGTGAATCTCTTTTACAGAGGAAGTCTTTAAAATATGTTTCAAGACCAGTACTTCATTCTAAAGTGCAGTTACTTGGATAAAAAAATAATTAAAATAAGTGTTTTTCCGTGGTTTCAAACGTTTGAATTTGCACTCCCTGCATTTCAAGAAGCGGAGTGTTTTCTAGTGTTGTGTGTTTCCCATTAGGGCAATGTCCTCTGCTGCAAATCTGGAGGCAATTTTATAGTGGTCAGTCATGGGTTGGTTAGCAAGAAAGATCTGCCCCCAAAAAGTTCTTGTTCCATTGATGTTGTCTTAAAATAGTTGTTTTGAAAAATCATTTGAAGGTGAAATGGAATAATTGTGGGAAATGGGTCTTTCAAACAGCTCGTTTTCCTTCTAATCTGCTCGGGGATATGTTTTGCAGATTTTACTGCCTTTCTTGCTCACTAACAATTTCTTCTTTAAGTTATGAAAGATAAAGGAGGAGGGAGTGGAGAATAACTCAGACTCTCTTCCCCTGAAATCAGAATGTTCTTAGTACTGTGTCTGATTACATCAAGTTATTGTGTATGAGACAGAACAACTGGCTTCTAATTCCCAGAACAACTTCAAGAAAACAAGACATCCAATTCCTGCTAAGGCCTTCAGTGCTTCAACAGTATACTGTCATCCTTACATTTGAAACATAAGGCCTCTTATTGGCCTTTTAATAATCTGTACAGAGATCAGGCATTCTGCAGTGGAACCTCCCATCTCTTTCCATAGCACTGTTACTCTCAACTGCTCGAAATGTCGAGTTAGGAGGAATGTGTCACTGTGGATTGCAAAACTCCATTTGCTGGATGTTTGGAGAGCAACTAGATGGGTGGAACGGAAAGTGGATTGGGCACTATAGTTGCCGAATACCTTCCCTAAAAAATGATGGGAAATATGCCACCTTTCCCACCTTGTGTATGTGAGAATTTCCAGTAAGATAAATTCAAATGCGAGTATCACAGGGCAAAAAAGCAGCGTTGATCTTTCCCAAACCTATTTACTATTGTTTGCTTTAGGGTATAAAACATCAGAAAGAAATTTGGGATGTAATTGAAATAAATACAGTGAAATTCTTTTGTAATACAGTCAATTTTTAAAAATCTTTTTGTCTTCAGAAATCTTGACAAAGATTGTGTGAAACAATTATTTTTCAAAAAAAATCCTATGTTTGGACTCCTGCTTCTTTACTATGAAAGCTACAAAAATAGCTTTGCTGTAACTGTTTAAAGCATCACCTCTGCCTTTTGGCTTTGGACTGAGATCTCTGTTAGTGGTTTCATTCTCTACAGCTCTAATTTTCCCTTGGTTGGCTGCCTTTTAATTTTATAGTGTTCATCACTGACTACATCTCTTAAAATCTTTCTGAAATTCTATGGAATGATAGCTTTTGGTTTTAATTTTTATAAGTTGCTGCAACTACTTCTGAGAAATATGAGCTAATTTTCCTGTTTCTTTGAAAATCTTAGTAACTTCTTCTTTGCTTTTGTGATTGAAGTTTGGCAAACTATAAAGCTTTGCAGTGGTTATTTTAGAATTACTTATAAGAAAGAGAAGGACTAGTGTCCAAAAAAGCTTTTTTATTCTGCTACTATTGAATTTAGTAAACAATGTTATACTGTCTCATAGATAAGGAGTCCGGGAAGGCTGGGCACTCTTTAAGATGGAAATCTTTATAGGTGCAGGAGCAGGCTGTCTCCAAATGCTGAAAGACAAATGCTGCAAAAGACCGGCCTGGCTGAACATGACCTTTGGCATGAACTCAGGAAAAAAGGAGAGTTTATGACCTATGGAAGAAGGGGTAGGAAAGTTAGAAGGACTGCAAGGATGCTGTGAGGTTATTCAAGGAGAAAATTAGAAAGGGCAAAGCCCAGACAAAAGTTCACCTGGCTATTGCCTTAAAAGACAAGAAAATTTTTTTCTTATTTTTCTCATCAATCAAAGGAAGGCTAAGGGTCCAGCCTTTATTGTGTGTAGAGGGAAACAGAGTGACAAAGCTTGAGGAAAAGGCTGAAGTACTTCATGCCTCCTTTGCCTTGGTCTTTAATATTAAGAGCAGTTGTTCTCCATGTATCCAGCCTCGTGGAAGACAGCTGGACAACCTTCCTGAGCTGGAAGACTACGACAACCTAAACATTTTTGTGATTCAATCTAAACAATTTCAACCTAAACAATTCTATGATTCTGTAATCCAGTGGGAAATTGGACTGAGATCAGTGACCTGATACACCACTTAAGACATGCACAAGCCTATGGGGCCATATGGGATGTACCCAGGGAACTGAGGGAGCTGGTGGAAGTGCTCACAGAGCCACTTGTACCTTTTCACTCTCTTCAGCTATGTGAAGGAAGGTTGTAGGGAGGTGGGGATTGCTATCTTCTCCCAGATAACAAGAGAGAGGATGAGAGAAAATGGCCTCAAGTTGAACATGGAAAAGTTTAGATTGAATATAAGGAAAAATTTCTTCACCAAAAGGGTTGTCAAGCATCAGAACAGGCTGCCTCGGGCTGTGTCACCATCCCTGGAGGTATTTAAAAGCCATGTAGATGTGGCATTCAGGGACTTGGTTTTGTGGTGAACACGATAGTGCCGGGTTATTGGTAGGACTTGATGATCTTAGTGGTCTTTTCCAACCTAAATGATTCTGTAATTCTATTCTGTGATTCTCTGATCTTGCCTTACGGAATTCACTAAGTAGGGAGCTGGCTCTGTGAATGCCTTTATTCCCTCTCAGGATTATGCTGGCTGAGGACCAAAATACACTTAACAGTTCTTCATTGCACTCCACTTTTAAACAGGATTCAGCAGAGAACCTGAGACTTCACAAATGAAGTTGAAAGCATGCTTAAGAAGCTTGCTGTTTCTTTTAGGAAAATACACTTCCTTTATTTTTAATTGGGATTTGCCCAAGAAATTCTTGAAAATTTTCATATAAGAAGGGTAATGAAAAGCTTATTTCATGAACTTGTTTCACAGAATATACCAGTTCTTATTCCAAAGAATATGCTACTTCACTAGCATATGTTTTATAACTTCACTAGAGTAATTTTCAAGATGGTAGTGTGGGGCTTACACTTCTGTGAACCTGTTAGCTATATTTTTCCAGCTCTTAACTCTCCTGCCAAAGCAGCATTTGTTTCATACAGATTTGTACATCGTGGTTCCAACTTCATTCTCATGCTGTTGCTTGGCCTGATGCAAACAGAGAGGAGTATGTATGATTGATATAGAGTGGAGTGGTGGTCTTGTTGATTTAGGATTTTTTTTTTTCCCCTCACATAGCATGCTTCTCCCAAACAGACCTGAACTGGGTTGATCAGGAGTGGAATCAAGCAAACCTGGCTCCTGTCTCATGCCAGAGGGGGAAAGACCAGCTGAACTTCGCTGATCTGGCTTAGAAAGAATATTGATGGGCTCTAAAAATTCACAAGTCGTCTGAGTGGATGTTGTTTATCTTTTGCAAAGTAGAAATTAGCTGATAAGTTGTAAGAACTACAATATTGTTGTACTCCCTCCGTGAGATCTGATGTGTTTTTTGGTTGCTCCATGTGTTCAGTAACTTACATGTACCTTTAGCTTTCCAAAGTCTGCGCTTACGGACCCTGAGACCCCTCACTGTGCAAAGAACTAAGTGTCTATAGGTACAGGACTGTGGTCAAAATGTATTAATTACTGTGCTGTACAGGGCACTCACAGCCTTCTCTGGCTTTGCCTGTAATCTCTTCCCTTTTTAACAATGGCCCCTGTGTCTGAACCTATTGGGATCCATAGATAACGATTGTCCACTTGTTTTGTTTATGAAGTTAGGGACTCCCTCTGCTGTTTAGAACAGTTTAAACAATTGTTAGCTAGCATGAGTTTTTAATTTGTATTAAAAATTTCTTGCAAAATAACTGTTACATAATATTAATGGTTAGCTTTTTAAGAATATGTTTAAAAAATAATGAAAATTCTTGACTAAAGTTATTTGATGTATCAGTATTAACACTAGACAATTTTATAAAAAAAATTCCTTTGTCACTTCCCTATTCATAGGATTCAATAAATACAGCTGAAATGATTTATGGAAGGCTGTCTCAAACTTGACATATTAAATATTTTGCTACCAAAAATAAGTGTTTTAAAAATACAGGAAGAGACCACTGATTACTTCAGGAGAAAGGGCAAACTTTCAAAAGTAGTGGTTGCCTCACAGGAGATTTGTTAACAGGCTTGCAGTCTGTCAGTATCTTCAGGAGAACATAACAAGATCTTAAATAGCAAAGGTGTAATGTCCATCGCTTTGAACATATTGATACTTGCTTTTTGTGTAGCAGAAACTTTGCCTATAGAGGAAAACAGCATTTCCAAAGAACACCGATTTTCTGAGGACTGTATGGATTCTGCACTTAATTCTGTGAATCCGTCAAGCCCAACCTGCCGAAATTCCACAGAGTACCGTACTGCAGGAAGTGCTGCATATTACAGAAATTCCCATCAACCAGCAACTGCTACCTCAAATTCAGCCCCAATCCTGCGAAGTCTGTCCTTGAGCTCTGCTGGGAGCAGCAGTTACTGTGAAGTCAGTAGGAATCGAATACAGAGGCGGATTGAAGGTATGCAATTATATAAAACCTTCCAAAGTGTATAACTGCTTTTACTAACATACAGAGTTATGAATAAAGAACTTCTTTGCCATAGGAAAGCTTGCATATGGAGCGAAACGTGCTGTTGCCAAGCATGTCAGGCTTGCTAATATAACTGCAAATGCAGAACTTAAGCCTGTTAGAACTAATAGTGCCATGCAGGCTGGGGCAGGTCTTGCCTGCTGCAGCTTCCTCTTGCTGCTGTTGTAGAACCTGCAGCAAGCCAGACCAGACAGGGGATATATGTATCTCACTTCCTGAGCGTCTTATCAGCTATTGCCATGTTGCTGAAATACAGGGATAGGGTTTCCTACTGTCTCTCCCTCTGTCTGCACAGCTTAAATTGACTTTGCCACAATCCCAGTCAATAGCATCTTAGGATTTAGGAGCCAAGTACCAGTCAAACTAATCCCTCTAGGTATGTCACAATGCTAATGTTTGTGCTGCTGTAAATACTTACAGTTGTAGAAGGCATTTAAATACAAAAGAAGCAGTTCGGTATTATTAGAAGGAAAATAAAGCATCTTTCATTTTAATATATTGCAAAGAATGCATAATAAAAGCCAAAAGTTAATATTGAAGTGTCTTACGTGAAATGAAATATGTTATCCCTGTACAGACAAGTGATTCTTGTTCCTTTCACAATATTTTTATATTAAAAGCTGCAAGTTCCACAACTGGACCGGATTTGAATTCACTAAAAAGGGAACCTTCAAGAATATTGAATAAGGATCCTTCCACCTGGTCAATAGAGGAAGTAGTGCGTTTTGTGAAAGAAGCTGATCCACAGGCACTGGCTCCACATGCAGAACTCTTTAGGAGACATGTATGATGCATATTCATTCCTTTCTAGTAGATTGTGTGTCACGCTTATCTCTTAAAACATAACTTTCATGTCTATCACTCTGCTCACAATTGAAGGTGGAATAGACTCTACTTGTGTGTTAGAGGGAGGCTGAAAATTATTTTTCCACCTGAAACTCCTCCTGCAGTGTATTTTCTCTGTGTTCCAGTCTTGTTAGACTAAAGCAAATAGTCGGTGCTTTCCAGCATATATGGAATAATGCCAATACTGGAAATACCCAAGTTCCAATGGCCAACATCCCTGGTACCTCTAGAGAAGATGGTATTCTCATGTGCAGTATGGGGAATTTGGCACCCCCGTTTTAGAGATTTAATGTCCTGAAGTAGAGATACTGTTATCCCTCGTTACCTGGAACACTTGGTCAGTAATACTAGAATTCAGAGAATCAATTGAAATGTTGAATTCACCTGTTTGGAAAAACAATGTGCAGGGTTTCATAAGATCTAACTAGATGTTATCTTTAGAGATAGAAACTCTGTCAGTTTTTGCTGGTTTTGATCTCCCCAGTACCTTCTTGCAGTGCTTTTCTATGGCAGGTTGCTCAGCAAAGAGCTGCTTTCTTACTTCATTGTATATGACCCTCCAAAAAGAGGTTGACTTTCTCTTTATTAGTGTTTCACCATGTTCTGCACCAGCTCCTACTAACAGTTAAATCTCTGAGTAAGCTGGATTGAAAGGAAAACTTAAAATAACTTTTAATGGAGATTCCTGTCTTATGTTTTATTCTTAGTTGTATAACAACAGTAAACATCACTTGTTTTGTCAGGTTTATGTTTAAAAAAATAAGACAGAGTGGTTCTCTTTATGGTGTTTTATGGAACTAATTGCCTGTCTACAGTATGTAATGATACTAAGAGCTTAGGATTGTCATATTTCAGCAGCTTCTCAGTCAGGCTGTTAAAATCTGACTAAACTGTCCTTGGTCTTGATCCTAACAATCTCTGTGGTTTGACATGGACATAGATCTGTCTTATTTCACAGATTTAGATGGTCTATAACCCCTTCCTCTGTGTGACTGTTTGCATGCACATGCCAAAATCCTCCCACAGCTGTGTTCAAGGTTCAGTGCAAGGCCTCAGTGCTTGGATCATTTAATCTCTAACTGCACAGACCCTCCTTTGCAGCTTCTTTTTTCCCCCTTGACCCACTCACTTTTTTTCTTCCCAGTCAGTACCTAATTTTGAGGGCTATTTGGTCAGTTCCCTTTATTTACTATATTTTTCTTTCTTTAACAACTCAAATACCTTAATCATACATTCAAAAATACTAAAATGAATTAAATTTCAGTGATCATCTGTAAATATAAACTTATGCTAAGTTACTGTTTTATATATAGTAGATTTTTTTTACGACAGTATAAAGAAATATAATGTACTTTCCAGTTTTACCATGCAACTTGTTCAAGTTATATGTTGTGTTTATTCTCTTCCTTCTGCAGGAAATTGATGGGAAGGCACTGCTCTTACTCAGGAGTGATATGATAGTGAAATATATGGGACTGAAGCTGGGGCCTGCCCTAAAGTTGTGCTACCACATTGAACGACTTAAACAAGGAAAGTACTAGACAGTGGGGGTACCACAAATGTGTGCGTTTCTGTCACACTAAGCTCTCAGGTTCACAGCCATTGCCTTTGTTTGAAACTGTTTTGCTGATATAAATAGTCTTTATTTTTTGAAAGTGCTCTGAAAATGTAAAAAAGACATTTGGGATAAAAGGAGGGGGAGGGATTTGTATTACATTCTGGTGTTTCTGTGAACTGTTTCAGAATGTTGGCAGGGAAGGACAGTTGATCATACTGGGTGTGGGCAGGTCGGGTAACAGCGCTCTCTGAATCCTGAGAAGTGTGTTCTGTGTTACAGGCTTCAGCCAATGTGTTCATATTCAGAACCAAAACAGCTGAATCCCAAAGGGAAATAATAAAATAAACCAGGTTCAGGTGTTTAAAATTTTTACAGTGATGGCTGTAAACTTTTATATTGCAAGAAAAACTTAAAATAGCAGATCTCATCTCTGTAGTGAATACTCTGTCTGGTCTTCCAGAAGAGAGAAAGAATTATGGAAGAGAGGGCTTAATACAAATATAAGCTTTTATAAAGTGTGATTATCAGTCCTTCAATAAGTTAAAAGGACAAATATACGGTATATTGTCAATTTATGCAGGCAATAAAATAAATATTTCTGATTCATGGAACGGCATATTGGCTGTATAAACAGCCATTTCTGGGACAAACTTATTTCACTGGAACAATGCATCCACATCTTAAACATGAAAAAACATTCCATATTTTTGCTCAGTTTGGCACGGATATGTGTGTTCATGCTTTTTTATATGTACATGTGTATGTGTCAGGGAAATACATACTATATATATATATATATAAATACATACACAGTGTACATATGTATTTGGTTTTTTAATGTGTACTTTGCACTGTGCCAGAGAGAACTGTACAATTTTTTTTTTTTTTTTTACCAGTAAATGTAGCTGTGTATTACTTTCATTAGCACCTGTTTAATGTGTTCTTGGAGTCAGAAGGTGACAAACAATCAAAAGGTGTCTTTATTCATACAGGCGAGATCCCTGTACTATGCAATACTCCTGAATATTCATCCCTTAAATCTGAGCCATATATTCCGATATATTTTTGGAAAGACACATTTGATTACTATGTTTTGGCTTTATATTTCCTGTTTGGAAGTGCTACTATGTAACTGATAAACCTTTTTTTGGGGGGTAAAATTGGTGCTGTTTGTTTAAGCTGCAAAAATGAGTGGTGACAATAAAACAGTTTGTCACTGCATTGTAATATACATCAGGGAGATGAAAATATACTTTCTGTGTAGGAAACTGAATGTAATAGTGAAACCATATATAATAGTGACGTGATAACTGTTTGTTAGGGAAGGTGTAGTCCTAAAATGCTAGGGTTTATTATATTTCTTAATACCTTTTTATATGAAAGCATATAGTATAAATGTATTTTTTACAAATTCCTCTTTTGAAAATGCCTTGCTTTACTAGTAGTCTGATACTCATCAGGTTTCAACAGAGATACTGCTGCAAAATAGTGAATTTGGTGACTCACAAGTCCAAGTATTTTGTTAGTTTAAGTGTCTGCAATGCAATTTTAATTCAGCAAGTTCATTTGGACTTTGAGAATTGTTTTTGTTGTTACATCATTAGACATTTGACACTAAAGTTTATCTATATCGATTTGTTTTGCATATCTTTTGTGGCGCATGTGTGCTCAGATGAATAATACAGGCATGCTCTTTATAGTGAGAAAAGGTCAGAGCATTGATTGAAGAAACAGAATATTTTCTCTTTGTGTTGGAAAAGCACCGACTTCCGTATGGATTCTCCAACAATTATGTATTAAGGAAAACATCATGCCCCACATGTTCAGTATCTTGTTTATACATATATATAATTGTATACTACTTCTTCCACACTTTATTATGCTGAATTTGTGTTCTTCAGCATAAAAGGATCTCATATAATTTAGGTGGAAGTAATTGACCGAAAACAGTTTTCATTTTTTACGTTGCCCTTGGCATAAAAAAAACAAAGACGTTTAAATTTTCTGTTTGGCCTATATGGAATGACATTTTTGTACATGGCACTATTATGGGTATAAATATTTGTTCAAGGCCTTGTGTGCACCCATGTGCACAGGGAATACTGTGATGTTGCTGTACCAGAATTTCTCCGTGCGCTATATAGCATGAGGTTCAAGTGTTCAGAGTGTTACAACCAAATATATTTTTTATTCTTTATTTTCAATGGGATGTTCTTATCTAGCAAGAAAAATAAAATAGTTTGTTCATTGTTGTAACTGTGCGTTTTGTTTGATGTCATGTCTGTGTGTGAGTGCTGTTTGAGTAGGCAAGGGTAGCTATCTTATCTGGCAGTTTTGGACAGTTCATGGAAATGTCTGATGTAAGGAAGTTTTAATCAAAAGGTTAAAATGATTCCAACATTGTTCATCTGAAGTGAGTAATGTTTGAACTTGCTGTGCTTTCAAAACAACAACTTACTTAGCTATTCAGCTGTTCAGTTTTGTATATCTCATTGTAACTTAGAGAGTTTTTGTATAACCAGTGAGGGGAAGAGACTGCTAAAAACTGTTTGTCCAGTGTTCAGATAAAGACATGAGGTATATTAAATCAAAGCAGTTAGTGGCAATAGGTTTGAACTTCATACACTTCAAGCTTTCTGTGACACAGAAGCCTGTTGTTTCACTGTCTGTTTGCAGGGATCAGCCTGCGCTTGAGAAGTAACTTAGACTGGGTTAATGGTAACCTCACATCCTTCACAGGCAAATGATGGAAATTGGAAGTTGGCAGTGAAAATAATACTGAGGCATTTTGTGTCTGATCTCTCTTCAGAGGTACTCAGTAGTGGATTTGATACACTCAGTGTGTATTTGATAAAGATAACATGATGTAGTCCCTTTGTTTCTCCTAGTTGCTTTTCTTCATCTGCCCATCTGGTTCTGTGTGTTTCGGGCATCTTGGAAGACAGTGCCATAACTCCTTAATTTGAAATTTAAAATACTGCTGCCTGGGAAGACTAGCAGCTCTAACATATCTTGTTGCAGAAGACCTGTGCAATATTGGAATTAAAGAATGCTGTATGACAGGCTGTGGCAATATACATATTGTAGGACTTTTTTACACGTATGTAGGAATGACAGTGAAAGGCAGCAACATCGTGTTATGAATGTTGGCTTGGAGGATGGACCATCTTCCCCTTTCTTGTTTGCTTTTGATAAAGGCACACCATTTTATATTTCAGGTGGTAAGTAATAATGTAGTAATGGCCAGTCTTCGCGAACGAAGAACCGGGGAAGGTCTTTACACCTTCCAGCCTGTGCATTGGATTTTTTAGGTGAGACACAGTGTGCGCGGAACTGAGCCCACCCTTTAATCCTGAGGTTCATCTGCCGAGGCCAGGCGAGCTTGGACGGTGGCAGCGAGGTCCTCAGGATGTAGATGGATTGCCTTACAGGGCTAACGAGCTCCATCTGCCCGGGGAGCGTCCTGACCGGGAATCAAACCTGGGTCTCTGTGGTGACAGCACAGTCACAGGGGCAAAGATGTATTTGTAGAAACTCTTCTTCCTTTTCAGTCAGGGATATAATTTGCGAAAAGCAGTGTTAACCTCTGTAGCTCTGACAGTTTTGTGTGAGTCAGTGGGTGTGATTGAGTAAACCATGAACGTTATGTGAAAATTTTACATTTGAGTATCTCAAGTGTTTCTGTAGGGGAAAAATCGAGTCCTGGGTAGGGATGACTAAAATCTTGAACTTTTGAACCTAGTCAGATAAAAGTTTTTAAGTGTTTCTTTGTGCTTGTCTTTAACTGAAGGTGAAATTCAGAGAAATGAAACATGGGTACACTGTTGAATGAATAGTTTATCTTCTGCTTAATTCTGAGGGCTTCAGTCACTTTTTTCCATTCGTGTATTGTTCTAGTGGGTCAGCTTAGGGTCATGTTTTCCTTTAAATATGAGTAACTAATAAAAATATATTCATATGTATGTATATGTGACCCTATAATGTAAATAATTTTAAATTTCAGTGGCCTGACATCCAGAATGAAGCAGTCAGAGCAGCCTGTATCCAGCCAACTTGAAGCAGAGTTGTCAGTGTTTAGGACAAATTGTGTTATCCTATTTATCTGCTGTTTTCAGTTGGAACTTACAGTTTGGTTTTTTTGTTTTGTTTTGTTTTCTGTTCTGCATTATCAAAGATTGTCTTAAATCCAGTGTTTTTTTCTAGAAAAATTGGTGTGGTTCTCTATACCAGTTACTCTGAAACTATGTAATTTTTAAAAGTCTTTGACATAAGACTTAAAATAGTAACTGGGAATAATGAGCATGTAAAAAACAGTGCTACAAGGAAAACCGAAACCACTGCTCAGAATAGATGTGTTTTTTTATTAAATATAGCGGATTTTGTACCTACAGCTTTTTGTATTTCTGAATTTTTGTGTCTGTGCTATTCTAATTAAAATTTGAGGAATTAAAGACTGTTTGAGGCTGAAAGGGACCTCTGGAAGTCATCTGGTTTAACCCCCTAGTCAAGTAGGGACACCTAGAGTTGGTTGCCCCAGACTGTTGCCAGGTTGCTTTTGAGTATCTCCAAGGATGGAGATTCCACAACCTCCCTGGACAACCTGGGCCAGGGATTGGTCACCCTCACAGTGAAAAAGTGTTTTCTGATGTTCGAAGTGTTTCATTTTGTGCCCCCTGCCTCTGGTCCTGCCACTTTAAGGATCCTGGCTCCATCCTCTGCACCCTCCCTTCAGGTATTTCTGTGCACTGATGAGATTCCCCCTGAGCCTTTCCTTCTCCCAGCTGAACAGTTCCAGCTCTCTCAGCCTTTTCCTCACAGGAGAGATGCTCTAGCCCATCATCTTTGTGGCTCATGGTTAACTTGGTGTCCACCAGGACATCCTTTCCTGCCAAGCTGTTTCCCTGCTGGGCAGTCTTCAGCATGCACTGGTGCCTGGAGTTGTCCCCATGTGCAGGGCTTTGCACTTCCCCTTGCTGAACTTCATTAGACCCATTCCTCCCACGTGTTGATGTCCCCCCGGATGGCAGCACAGCCCTCTGATGTATCAGCCCCTCTTGCTGGTTTTGTGTAATCTGTACACTTGCTGAGGATGTGCTCTGCCCACCATCCAGAACACTGGTGAAGAAGGACTGGAACCAACAGTGATTCCTGAGGTACATCACTAGGCACTGACCTCTGACTGTACTTTGTGCCACTGATCATCATCCTCTGGGCGCAGCCATTCAACCAGTTTTCTATGCACCTGTCTGCTCATCTAGCCTACACATCAACAGCTCGTCTGAGAGGATCTTCTTACAGTGTGCTTCCCTTTACCACCTCTTCAGCAACCTTTTATTTCCCCTACCTTTGTTCAAGTGATAATCACTAGTGTCAGTCGTAATGGATGCATTGTTTGCCATGGCTGCATCCAACTCAAAGTGAATTCAGGGGACACAGATAACACAATAGCCAAGAGATAATAGGAGCAACATGCCCACGTAACCGCAGTGCCAGTCAAGGTCCAACTCAAGTCATGTTTAAAGGAAAGTAGGTTTTCTGGTAACTATGAAAATACAACTATGAGTTAATTATTTGATTCCGTAAATAGTGGACAGCCCAGGGCGCATTGAGCTCTCCTGCATGCAGCAGGCAGCATGCCAGGATCTCCCCTTCAGTAGGGACACCTCTCAGGGTTACTCCTCAAGGTTAAGAGTCTTTAGATGTAAATAATTGATCAAGTCTGGGACTGAGTCTGGACCCATCATCATTTAAATTCTCCTCTGAGAAGGAGTTTAGGATGCAAAGGGTGCCTTTCTGAACCTCATGACTCCATAGGAGGGTCTCCTTGACAGTGTTGTCTGACCCTGTCCTCTATGCAGTAAATAATCTGCATAGTGTTGCTATCGAATCTTGTTAAGTCATTCTCACTTTTTTGATCAAACTTTCTTGAATCTCTGGTTTATACCAATGAAAATATTGCCACTTCTCTCTTAAGAGTGAAGTGCATCACTCTGTCCCTGACAGGTCTTATGGAAGACAGTGTCAAAGGCCTTCCTGAAGTTCAGGTAGACTACATCCACAGTTCATCCCTCATCTACCAGGCTGCTGGTCATTTTGTCATGGAAACCTAGCAAGTTGATCAAGGATGACTTCCTCTTGATGAAGTTGTGCTGGCTATTTGTAATGAGCATCATCTTGTTCCTTGTACCTGAAAATGGCTTCCAGGATAGCTGCTCCATCAGTTTCCCAGGGGTGGAGATGAGGCTGACTGGCCTGTAAGTTCCCTGGGTCTTCCTCCTTGCTCTGTTTGAAGACGAGTGACATCTTTCATTCCATCTTCAGGCACTTCTCCCACTCACCACAATTAGTCAGAAATTATGGAGAGTGGCCTCACTTTGCCATCAGCCAGCTCCCTCAGCACTCGTTACTGCATCACATCAGGCCCCTTAGACTTAAGTTTGTCCAGTTTGCTCAGGTATTCTCTGACCCAGACCTTTTTCACTAAAGGTCTATTGTTTTTACTTCGGTCTTTCTTTCCCCTTGATCTCAGGGACCTGGGATTCCTTAAAGCTGGTCTTGCTAGGAAAGGCTGTGTCAAAGCTGTTATTCAGTACTTCAGCATTTTCCATGTCCCATGTAACAAGGTCCCCTATCTCATTCATCAGTGGGCCCACATTTTTTCCAGTCTTCCTTTTGTCACCTATAAAGTGTAGTCTATTTTAATGCAGGATCATGTAAAGAAACAGATTTTAAAAGAAGTGGCTATCAGTGTTTTTTTTCTTTGGCTAGCTAGTTATATAATAGAGTAAAATGAATGAAGAG